AATGGGCAACCTTAAATTGATCATTGTATGGACTTAGAACATGCCTCAAGTAAGAGTTGCTACTAATTACCGGACCAAGATTATCATTGAAAGAAGCCATGGATGGAATAGATATCCGGCGGGGAACCAATAAAAATTAAAAAGAATAACTGTAAATAAATGTATTATAAACATACTACATAATTAACAGCTAATCCAGGTAAAATTGAGATCAGAATAATAACGTAACTTATAAAAAACAAAAGAAATTCAATAAAAGGTAAACCAATATAAGGAACAGGAAAAAACTTATAGGTAACAATATGTAAAAAATTAAGGACCTTGATATAACGAGAGAAACATTAAAAAACGAGGCAATATACAAAAATTCAAATAAATCGTTATACCAAGTTCCAACATAAATGTACTACACTAAGAATTAACAACTTTAAGATTATTACAACCAGCAACATCATGAACTTCCACTTTCTTACCATTCGGTAGAGTTAGAACAGCACGCAATTTATCGTTATTAAATATTTTGTACTTTTTAATAATATTATCATGACGCAGTTTTCTACAAGCCGAATTCAATTTGTCAATTTTGTTGTGAAGTATTCCCTCATAATGCTATCACGAATCATTACATTGTTAAAAATGATCAGAATAAGATGTTTTCGGAACATTTAACGTCCACATCCACAGAATATAAAAAATTTGTGAAGTCAAAACCGTATAATAATCCATCCCAATCGATTGCTTTAAAATTACGATATTCGACAACAACATTAAATCGTTCCAAATACATCCTAAACGAGGCGAAATACCAGGGCATAGAGCCTGACCTGAAAAACTAACCATCGAACGGTCACTAACTAAAAAGAAGTCGATCAAGGATGTGGATGTTAGGGTGATCGACTCGGTTTTAAAACCGGTTTTTTCTGCTTTACCAGTGGCGGTTTTTTCTTAATGTTGATTTTTCGAATATCGAATAACCCGGTTTTTTCGCTTTTTAAAAACCGGTTTCGAATAATTTTATTTGCTTTGTATTCAAAGATTATTTAAATTAAATTTTTAAGTAAATAATAATACAGCCCGCCTAAATTTTAAAAATATTCGAGTCGAGGAGCTAGCGTATATTTTTCTAAAGCTCCTTTGGTTAAACTTTTTTGATTTTCCTAATTAATTAAAAAAAAAATATTTGTAAAATTGATAACTGTTTGATAAAATTTTATCAATCTTAAGATTATATTCCAATTACAATAATTAATTTACGGCTGAAATTTTATGGAAGTGTTGGAATGCCTATGCAAATTTCCTAAACAGGGCTTTTAAAATATGATAGGATTACATAGTACCTTATGTTTAATTATGTAATTATGTTTAATCCTAATTTTTTTATATTAAAAAAATAATGTAAATCAGACGACTAGATCTAAAGTTATAATCTTTTAAACTATTAAAAATCATTTCGGGCCATGTTTTATTAATCAAATTTAAACATAAACATTAAGTTTTTCAAATTAAAATATATTTTTTTATTTATAATGAAAAACCGGTTAACCGGTTTTTTCTGAATTTGAAAAATATCAACCGGTTTTTTTAAATGTCAACTATTCGAACTATTCGAAAACCGGTTTTTGGAAAATGTCGAATAATCGATCACCCTAGTGGATGTACACCTAACATCATAATGCGTAGGTTTCGAATTGTGGCAAATAGATAAGTTACTTCTTGTACAAAATGAGCGAACAAGGTCAGCCTTAGTAATGTCAAATTTTCAAATGTAGAAAAGTCTGTAAGAGGAGGCAAATATACTACACCAAATAAGACTTTAACACTATCAAAATAAAGTTCGATAAAAAGAGATTCACATTTATCTAAAACTGATACGCTAGAAACCACCTTATACTTAATTTTATCGGAAATATATATACCAACACCAACTCCTCTACCATGTTCACGATCACTCCTACAGAATCTATAACCCGGAATATATGTATACAGCCTGAGTAAGTTCCTCCTTTTTTAACCAGGTCTCGCTAACACCAATAACATCAAACACGGAACCGCCAAAAATGTTCTTGATTTCATAAAATTTCGAATGCCCATAAGAAGGTTTGAGACTGCCACAATTTAAATGGGCAACCTTAAATTGATCATTGTATGGACTTAGAACATGCCTCAAGTAAGAGTTGCTACTAATTACCGGACCAAGATTATCATTGAAAGAAGCCATGGATGGAATAGATATCCGGCGGGGAACCAATAAAAATTAAAAAGAATAACTGTAAATAAATGTATTATAAACATACTACATAATTAACAGCTAATCCAGGTAAAATTGAGATCAGAATAATAACGTAACTTATAAAAAACAAAAGAAATTCAATAAAAGGTAAACCAATATAAGGAACAGGAAAAAACTTATAGGTAACAATATGTAAAAATTAAGGACCTTGATATAACGAGAGAAACATTAAAAAACGAGGCAATATACAAAAATTCAAATAAATCGTTATACCAAGTTCCAACATAAATGTACTACACTAAGAATTAACAACTTTAAGATTATTACAACCAGCAACATCATGAACTTCCACTTTCTTACCATTCGGTAGAGTTAGAACAGCACGCAATTTATCGTTATTAAATATTTTGTACTTTTTAATAATATTATCATGACGCAGTTTTCTACAAGCCGAATTCAATTTGTCAATTTTGTTGTGAAGTATTCCCTCATAATGCTATCACGAATCATTACATTGTTTAAAATGATCAGAATAAGATGTTTTCGGTTAATATAGCAGACATGGTTATAGAATGCCCAAAGAGCAACAATATCCGGTATACCAGCAGGTAGGCCACGTACAACAATATTCCCTCGATTCAATCTTCTATAGAGTATATGGTTCTCAATTTCCAAGGCGTTAATACTAGTTGAAGTATCAGACTCAATCTGATTAATACGCTTATTGCAAGATTCTATATCGGATCTCATTTCCTTTAAGAAAGTTTCCATTTTTGAATTTATCTCGGCTACAGCACTGTTAAAGGCGTTCTTAATGAAGTCCATATCTTCTTGGCTTTTATTCAGCATTTCATGAAATTTTTTGTTTAAAGCATTAATTCCGTCAACATTCTTGTCTTGAGTAGGTATATAGGCGAAACAGAAGAGGTTTTAAAACAAAATTTGTTATTCTTTTCACACAGACGAGTTCTGAGAGAATAAAACACACTTGAGAGTACAAAACGCACTCACAAAACTTCAAATGTTATTCGCAAAATTTCGAGGATATTAGCACTTAATAGTTTTTCTTATCACTTAAACTTAATATTTATTATTTTTGACCACACTTTTAATATATTTAAAACCCCGAAAATAATTTAAATTTTACAAACGAAAAAAAATATTTTTTATTTTTTGACATTTCATTTTAATTAAAACTGAAGAAAGAAAAGTTGTACATTTTTGTATTGAAAATGAAAAAAAGTATTTCACATACTTTTTTTCTTTCTCTATTAGTGCAGAAAAAAATAATAAAAAGACGTGTTTATAATATGTTTTAAGATGAAATATCTTCTGAAAAAAATTAATTAACTAATATTTTCATTTACAAGTAGATGAAATCCCAGTAATAACACAAAATTTGTTATTCTTTTCACACAGACGAGTTCTGAGAGAATAAAACACACTTGAGAGTACTAAACGCACTCACAAAACTTCAAATGTTATTCGCAAAATTTCGAGGATATTAGCACTTAATAGTTTTTCTTATCACTAAAACTTAATATTTATTATTTTTTACCACACTTTTAATATATTTAAAACCCCGAAAATAATTTAAATTTTACAAACGAAAAAAAATATTTTTTATTTTTTGACATTTCATTTTAATTAAAACTGAAGAAAGAAAAGTTGTAAATTTTTGTATTGAAAATGAAAAAAAGTATTTCACATACTTTTTTTTTCTTTCTCTATTAGTGCAGAAAAAAATAATAAAAAGACGTGTTTATAATATGTTTTAAGATGAAATATCTTCTGAAAAAAATTAATTAACTAATATTTTCATTTACAAGTAGATGAAATCCCAGTAATAACACAAAAAAATAACGTATCAAAAATACATTTATTATTTAGTACCTTTTGAACGACCAGTTAGATCTTTGACAGGGGACTTAGGTCTTTGACAATCCCTTTCGCCTATATGCTACTATATGTCTTGAGCAGTTTTGTTCTCACAAGTGGTATACGCAAATTTCAATGACTTAGTTTTACCAAACAAATCGAGATCATCATCATACACATCTGTACAAGATTGGTGAATCCATAATGTGCAAACATCACATTGTATACAATTCCTTTTTCCAATAGGTTCATCACATATGCCATTTATGAACTCTAGGCGCCTTTATTTATAGCAACAGCAACAAGCAATATCAAATTTCTCGATGATACAGAAAAAATTCAGTTGTTAAAACTTAAGAAAAAGTCAAATATGAATTTCTTAGCAAAGGTTTAAATGAATATACTTTAGTTTAAAATAAATAGACTAGCTGCAAATAAAAATCACGTTTACTCAGGCATAGTGTTGCCAGATTATCCAGGAATTAAAATCATAGCCAATAAAAACTTTTCGAATCGCCTTTAAATCGAGCTTCTTCCTTTTTTCTTTTGGAACATGTACATTAGGGATATAACTAATTTGCCGAAATTTTTGGCACACCACCACGTAATTGCCAATGTTGTATAAGTAATGAAAATAATTTTTTTAGGTCATTTGGAATCAAAAACATCACGCACCAACCCCAATCTCTTAAAATCTACTAGTTTTGAGTAAACCTCTTCAAGGTGTTTCCACTGAGCTGACTTGTTTTTGGTGTTCGAATTTTCGAAGTAAATTTGACTTTTTATCTATAAAATTAAAAATAAATAAGTTTTTGTGCTATTTTAATAAAATATGATGAAAACGGGTATAAATAGTGAATTTATTTTATATTATGCGCTAGAAAATAGTAACATGATTGCTGGAGTATGCAATTATTTTTGAAATACCGTTAAGTTATATCAACCTCATAGAATGATATGCCGGCGAAGGATAAGAAGAATTCAAACAAAGAAACATATCCTGATTCTTCTTGCCAAACGTGCACAAGTAAAACGCCGAAGATTATGGAAATTTGTAAGTAGTAACACAAATGAATATAAGAGACTAAAATTTAAAATAACATTTTAAGAATCTTTCATAGCAATTTTTTGAGCAAGATTGTCTTAACTTTGATGCAGAAAGTTTCAAGAATAACTTCCGTATGTCGCGGGAAACATTTGACAACCTTTGCACATATTTAGGAAATCAGAAAAGCAATACCATTTAAAAAAAGAGTGGCAGTTGCTTTGTATGCTTTAGGCTCTTCTGCCGAGTACAGAAGCATTGGAAATTTGTTCGGCATTTCAAAATCAATGGTTTCGAAAATAGTTATAGAGTTTTGCCAAGAAACTTATAAACAATTATTTTCCATTATCACGTGAAACTATAGAGGATTGTGTAAACGGATTTGATATAACGGGACTACCTCAATGTTTAGGAGCAATCGGTATCAAACGAACTAATGTATACTATAATTTACAATATAACAAAGTTTTTTTCCAGATGGCTGCCACATTGAAGTTCATCCAGCTTCTGAAGATGCTGTGGACTATTATAATTACAAGGGATGGTATTCAACAGTTTTACTAGCTCTAGTAGACTATAGGTGGTGTAACCATTTTAAGGAAAATGATTTAAAATCTCAACAAATTTAAAATTTGCATGTTTTCAGATATCGATTCCTCTACATAAATGTAGGAAGTCCAGGGAGATGTAATGACTCCCAATTTTATGAAAGATCATTACTTAAAAAACATATTTCAGAGAGTGACATTTTGGATCAGTATTCCAAAGATATATGTGGAACTAAAATTCCAATTTATATTATTGGAGATTCAGCTTTTAGATTCTCTAAGAATCTAATGAAGCCATACCCTTTTAATGCCGAAAATGATTCTCGAAGAAAAAAATTTAATTACCTTCTTTCAAAACATCGAAGAGTGGTAGAAAATGCCTTTGGTCACTTAAAAGCTCGATTCCGTCGAGTAGGAAAAGGAATTGACAATAAAATACAAAATGTCAACCTGATCATTAAAACATGTTGTCTTCTCCATAATTTTTTAAATGAAAAAAAACGACAATGTCAACAATAAATGGCTAAAAGACTTAGAACAATATGATAAACTTCGTAAAAATCTGCAAAATCAAACGGTACTGGATGATACCATAAACCTTGCAGAACAAATACGTCATGCACTCAGTTTATATGGTAAGTATTGTTATGTTTTACCTTTTTGAAAACGTTGGTTTATTTTCCTTATTATACCCTACACCACTATAGTGGGGAGGGTATTATACGTTTTTGCTGATGTTTGTAACGCACAAAAATATTGGTCCTACCTACCTTAAAGTATACCGATCGACTCAGAATCACTTTCTGAGTCGATTAAGCCATGTCCGTCCGTCTGTCCGGCTGGCTGACTGTCCTGTTCTATATACGTTTTAATAATACTACCGATTTTCGTAATTATCGGACTTTATTTGACCATAGCCCCCATACAAAGTCCCCTTCAGAAAATGACTTGACTTAATTCACTAATAAACACTGGTATCACGATGAAATCTAGCATACATAACTCTAATGTAAACGTAAAGCCATGTACCAAAAATTATAAGGATAGGCCCATATTTACCCTTGCCCCCATATAACCTCTCTTAGAAAATCACTTTTTTCAACAAATTGGTAAAATATTTCGGAATTAAGGTAAACAACTTAAATGCTTTGTTATCAAATATAATCCACATTTTTAATATACTCAGTGGTGTGGGGTATCATATGGTCGGCCATGCCCGACTATACTTTTCTACTTGTTTTTATTTCAAATTAAAGCGTTAGATTATTTTACATTATAACTACTCTTTATTTACACAGTTTTATACACAAACACTCTTAAAACACTGTACACAACTTATATATGTAGTAATCTGAATGGTGGCCTATTTATTTTTAACACAAGAAAGCACACTTATTTATTTCCGGAACAACAAACATAATGAATCATTTAAACTGGCCGTATAGACTGGCAGACAGACAGGCATACATACAAACAAACAGACAGACGTACGGACGGAGGACAATTTTACATAATGTAAATTTCTCAAATTCAGAGAAATTTTCTATAATAAAAATATCACGGATTCAGAGAATTTTTTTTATTATTTTTAAAAACAATTTATTTTTTATTTGATAAGTAATTTATTATAATATTTTTTAATTCTTCATTATCATTAGTTAACTTTTCTAACATATTTGTTTTTTGAACCTCCAAATTGTACATTTTTTCTTCCCATATTTTTTGATTTGCTTTTTCTTCCTCTTCTTCTTTTTCTAAATCCTCAATTTTCTTAAAAATTTTATTTAACATATCTTCTGGACGTCTTTTTTTTACAGCACTACGAACAGTCTCAGATGTTGAGGGTGAATCATTATCAGAAGATGAAGACATCAGTGGTGGTGAATAGTCAGAGCTAACACCTGAGACGAATTCTTCAGTTAATATTTCAAAATTGGTGTACTCCTCAGATTCCATTCCTTCAAAGCTTCTTGAGCTATCTGAAAATATATATATACATATATAAACATAGTAATTCATTAATAAATTAATAAATATGACAGAATAGATTCAGCAAGCCCGACCATATGATACCCTAATAATATGTGTATATTTAAATAAATTTTTGGATGATGCTTCTATATAAAAACTATAATGAGGATCGTCCAACGTTATTAGGGTTTGCTAATCATATTATAAAACTTACCTGTGATACTTTCCTCTACAACCGTCTCCAAATTTTTGAAAGGTCCCAAAATTAAATGAACTTGTGGGTATAAGTTCCAAGTCGACGGGGAACCACCGGATAGACCTACAGCATTTTTTTCCTTTCTACAGTCTAGTCTATAGTCTACAGTCTAGTCTATAGTCTAGACTAGACTATAGACTAGACTATAGACTAGACTATAGACTAGACTATAGACTAGACTATAGACTAGACTATAGACTAGACTATAGACTAGACTATAGACTAGACTATAGACTAGACTATAGACTAGACTATAGACTAGACTAGACTAGACTAGACTAGACTAGACTAGACTAGACTAGACTAGACTAGACTATAGACTAGACTAGACTAGACTATAGACTAGACTATAGACTAGACTATAGACTAGACTATAGACTAGACTATAGACTAGACTATAGACTAGACTATAGACTAGACTATAGACTAGACTATAGACTAGACTATAGACTAGACTATAGACTAGTCTATAGTCTAGTCTAGTCTAGTCTATAGACTAGACTATAGACTAGTCTATAGTCTAGTCTAGTCTAGTCTATAGTCTAGTCTATAGTCTAGTCTATAGTCTAGTCTATAGTCTAGTCTATAGTCTAGTCTATAGTCTAGTCTATAGTCTAGTCTATAGTCTAGTCTATAGTCTAGTCTATAGTCTAGTCTATAGTCTAGTCTATAGTCTAGTCTATAGTCTAGTCTATAGTCTAGTCTATAGTCTAGTCTATAGTCTAGTCTATAGTCTAGTCTATAGTCTAGTCTATAGTCTAGTCTATAGTCTAGTCTATAGTCTAGTCTATAGTCTAGTCTATAGTCTAGTCTATAGTCTAGTCTATATTCTAGTCTTTAGTCTAGTCTTTAGTCTAGTCTAGTCTATAGTCTAGTTTGTAGTCTAGTTTATAGTCTAGTTTATAGTCTGGTCTATAGTCTGGTCCATACCAAACAAATAAACACACATTCATTTTTATATATATAGATCAATGGTGCCCAAAATCACTATTCCCTATCACGCGAGATAGGGCAAGAATATTCTGCTGACGTTGCGTTGACTCACCTACACTATAAGCTTACTTGTGTATTTTCTTATTTGTGCATGTGCTAGTTGATTATCTCTCAACTTGCAAAACAAAATCAACTCAGTTGCTGATCAGCATTTGTCGAAGTAAGATCTGTACGCATCCTTTTTAAAATCCACACAGAAATACAACAACAAAATTTTGAGAAAGCCGAATTTATGTAGGTGAATGAGAGAGCACAGCTGATAGTTTTTTATATATGAACTTTAATGTACGCTTTCTGTCAAAATCCATAATATCAATTTGACAGTTAGAATATACTTTTTAGTATGCAGTCATTTTATTAGTACAGTTTTATTTTGGGTTACATTTTGTTCTCTGCTGCTTTACCAATACAAATTAATGTGTAACAGTGTGTGTATGGGCAACACTGATATAGATGAATGTAAGCTTTGAATAGTTTGTACAAAGAAAAGAACAATTTTATTATTCTAAAATAAAAACTTAAACAAGAAACATCAATTACAATAAGTTATGGGCCATTGTTGTTTCGTTAAAGAATTTATTTAAGAGGATCAATAAAAGGTTACATTAAAGATTAAAGGAATTCAAGATTCAAGAAAGATTTAAGAAATAATTAAGTTGAGCGACACCAAGTTTTATGATATAGAAAAACTCAAGCAAGACAATTATTATAATTGGAAATTCAAGACTGAAGATGTATCTGGTAAAGGAAGATCTGTGGTCCGTGATTCAAGAGCCAGCTCAGGACACAGATGCTTGGAGAAAGAAAAATTTGGAAACGTTTGCCGTTTTAAGTTTATGTGTTGAAAATTCTCAACTCATCCATATAAGGAATGAAACCTCTGCTAGGAATGCTTGAATAAACTGCAAAATCAACATGAACGAGTTACTCTAAGCTCAAAGGTGCATTTAATGCGAAAAATATTCAGCATGGATAATAGACTCGGGCGCAAGTTGCCATATTGCCCGTGATAAGGAATTGTTCAGCGAAATCAACTACAATGATAAAGGTCAGTCTATTTGTGTAGCAAATGGAAACAGTTCTAAAGCCAAAGGTAAGGGAGTGTGTAAAATCAAGATTGGTGATGTATCCCTAATTGAGAATGACGTTTACTATGTCCCGAATTTCAATTCAAATTTGTTGTCGGTTAGGAAAATCACTAAGAAAGGGTATTCTGTAAGTTTTATTAAAAATGTATGTATTTTAAAGAAAAATTGTAACGATATTTGTAAAGCTTATCTTAAAAATGGTTTGTGCACACTTAATGCAACTTTTGAAAAAGTTTTTTCGGTTCCTAATTGTAATTAAGGTTGTATGCATTACTGGCATAGAGTTCTTGGTCATCATAATGAAGAAGGTATTAAACGTTTATTGAAATATAAATTAGCAACAGACATAAAGATAAATGAATGCAAAAAGTATAAAGAAACGCGTGAAATTTGTTTGCAAGGAAAATTTGCTAGAATTCCATTTCCCAAAGAAAGTTTTTCGAGATCTACAAATTGTTTTGAACTTATTCATTCCGACGTCTCTGGTGCTATATCTCCAGCAACTTGTAGTGGTTACAAATATTTCGTTACATTTATCGATGATCATAGCAGATATTGTACAGTATATCTATTGAAGGCTTAAGATGAAGTTTACAGCAAATTAGTTAAATTTTGGAATTTAGTTAAAAATCAAGTCGGCCATTATCCAAAAATCATTAGATCTGATAGAGGTGGTGAATATATAGGT